AAAAAAAAGTCACTAATAATCACATTATAGTTCCACAAGAAAAAAAACAAATTCTCTATCATCATAAAGAAAGAAAAAAGGGTTACAGAAGTACATCTATTAACGTACACATAATACATTATATCAATTCATACAAACAAAATATTTTTTCTTCAAAAACTACAACAACAGTTAACTATATATTCTAATCATAATCTTACTTATTATGATTTTTTTTCTCAAAAATACTCTACTTTAAAGATTCGAATGCGCGCAAAAAATTCTTTTGTAATGAGAAGAAGAAGAAGAAGAGGAGAAGGAAAAAAAGAAATATTACACAGAGATTGATACAAAATAAAGTTAGAAAAAAAAAGCAAATTTTCATAAGGAAACAAAATTTTATATGACTAATTATCTCCTGTCTGTTATTATTCATCGACTATTCTTAGTTTCATATACAAAATAAATAAATAAATAAATAAATAATTTCCACAGAAAAACAAAAAAAAACAAAGAGAAAGAATAATTACTCAATATTCGCCATAGAAATCTCCTTCAAAATCATTATGTTGTCGATGATTATGATGATGATATTGTGGTAATAATAAATTACTATGACCATATGGTTTCTTTATCGTACGTTTAGCACGTACTGTTAAACGTGAATTATAATTCGATGGTCGATTATGCCATTCATGCTCATTATGAACGATACTACAATAGTTCAAAGAATATAATTTGTTTCTTCATACAAAAAAAGATGTTTTACCTTAACATATTAACAATTGATTGGAGTGAATTAAGAATTGAAACTGATGTCATAGCTTCGACTTCTATAGAGAGAAAAAAAAGAACAACAATAATAAATATCTTTGAAGATTAAACTATGTATTTATTAACCTGTGTATAATCTAAATGCATCCATTTCATCGCTAAATCGTGCAAGTTTATATGGATCATGTGCGCGTTCACGAGCTGCCATTAAATCATCCATACACATTGTTAAACTATAATTTGAATACCAAATTTCAGTAAAACTTCGTACGTAATCAACAAGTGAATCATTGCCAACAATTAATTCTGAATATTCTTCAGCTTCAAAA